TCCTTCTCCTCCCCCTCCTTCTCCTCCTCCTCTCCTCCCCCTCCTCCTCCCCCTGTTATGAAATGAATGCAGCAGGGTTACTCTGCTCTGGCTGCAGGGGGTGAGGCCCGACCTAAGGGTAGGGCGTGCTCATCGCCCTGCCCCGCCAGACGGAGAGCGGAGTGGCCTCGAATCGCCCCAGGGAGACCGCCGGAACTGGGCCCAGGGCGGCGCGCTCGGAGCAGCCACGTCGGTGGCGCGTCGGTGGCACGCTCGGAGCAGCCACGTCGGGTCAGGGCGGCGCGTCGGAGCAGCCCGATGCCGTCCTCGTCGGTGGCGCGCGGGCCCGAGGGAGCGCCGCCTGGGCGCACTCCCAGAGAACGTGCTGGCCGCCATTGGACGAGGCGTCGGAAGCCCCCCAGGGGGGGACGGGGGCGGCCCCTCGTCGGCAGCAGCCCTCTGTGACCGCCGCTCCAGGGTCGAGCCTGGGAGCCGGCAGCAGCCACGCGCCTTCGGGGAGCGGCCAGGCCGAGGCCGGGCGCAAGCCGAAGGCCCTGGAGTGCTCCGAGAGCGTCACCGACAGCAGCCGCGACGTGGGAACCCCCGAGCAGCCTTCCCAGATCCCCTCGCGCTGCGAAAAATCACGACCGGAGGTTTTTCGCTATTTTCGGCCTCCCGGGGCCCTTCCCGGGCCTCAGGACCGTCAAAGAACAATTCAGGACGAAAAAACAAAACAACTCAGAACGAAAAACCGGTCCCGGGGAGAGGGTCCAGACCTCTGGGGGTCGACGTTATGAACAAAGCACGACATCGGGGGCCTGGGCTCACAACGGCGCAGGCCGTGCCGAAGATCGGGTGCAACGAGATCCGCTCGGCGTACCATCGCCGAGCGCACCGCCAAGCGCAGCGGGTGCGCACCACCGGCCTGAGCGTGAGCGCGAGCAGGTCGGGAGGCGGGATTGCGCAGAAGGGGGCCGACCTCTGTGTTTGGAGGGGCCGCACAGCAAGGCCCCTAAGCTCCCGGAGTCGTTGCCCGCCAGTGACCGTGCGGAGCCGGCGCACTTGGAAGCGGATCTGATCTCGCCCGCTCCGCGGTTCGGGCAGTGGGGCCAGACCGCGGCGTCCCGTTACGTGAATACGTGAAGTGTAACGTCTTGTAGTATGGCATTGGGCATCAGAAGCAGCGTCTGGACGTGAAAAGAATGTGTCCAGTCCAAAATGGGAGCGGTTCGGATGTTTAAACCGCTACTGCGACTGGTTCTCAGTTTCGCGGTTATGCGTGTTGTGCACGGCCCGTACTCGCACAGCATGAACTTTCTCATGCTGCTCCTTCGCTGCCAGTGCCACCCCTCCGCCTCCTCCTCCTCCTCCTTCTCCTCCTCCTCCTCCTCCGTTCACTTTGTTTCGATGCATTTGTTAGACCACTTCCCTAGGGCCGGCTTTTCGTCCCGAGCCGTTTTTGGATTGTCCTGAGTCCCAGCGAGGGCCCCAGGAGACCGAGACTTGCCCCAAACCCGCCGCCTCGACATTTTCGGGACGTCGGATCTCTGGGCTCTCGCCCCCCCCCCCCCCCCGCTCCCCCCCGAGGAGGAAGCGGAGGAGGCGCAAGAGGAGGAGGAGGAGGAGGAGGAGGAGGAGGAGGAGGAGGACAAGGAGGAGGAGGAGGAAGGAGGAGGAGGAGGAGGAGGAGGACAAGGAGGAGGAGGAGGATGGCGGAGGAGGAACGGAGGAGGAGGAGGAGGAGGAGGAGGATGATGATGATGAGGAGGAGGAGGAGCTGTTTAATCGGGGGGGGGTGCGGGGAGGCGCCCCAAGTGAGCGAGCGTTCTGGGTGGACTGGAGAGCGCCGCCGCCGCCCCCCCTTCCGCGTCGTCTGCGAGCTCGAGGCCCTGGGGCCGCCGCGCGTGTAGGACGAAAAGAAGCTTATCCCAGTGCGACCCTACCTAGGAGTTGGAGCATTTAGGAAAGCAACATCTACATCTACACCGACAGCTACATTTGCATATACACCTGCATCTACATCTACATCAACATCAACAGCGAGACTCACATCTACATCTACATCTACACCTGCATCTACACATACACCTACATCTACATCTACATCTAAATATACATCTACACCTACAACCACATCTACACCCACACCTACACCTACATCTACATCTACATCTACATCTACATCTACATCTACATCTACATCTACATCTACATCTACATCTACAGCTACAGCTACAGCTACAGCTACATCTACATCTACATCTACATCTACATCTACATCTACATCTACATATGCTGAACAACCTGCTGCTATGCTATGCTATGCTCTGCGATGTTATGCTATACTATGCTATGATATGCTGCGCTATGCAATGCGATGCTATGACATGATGTGCTACGCTGCGCTATGCTGCGCTATGCTATGCTATGATATGCTAGGATACGCTCGGCTGCGCTGTGTTATGCTAGGCTATGCTATGCTATGCTATGCTGCGCGAGTGCTATGCTATGCTATGATGTGCAGCGCGATGCTATGATATGCTATGATATGCTATGCTATGCTGCGCTATGCTATGCTATGCTCGGCTATTCTATGATATGATATACTGCACTATGCTATGTTATGATATGTTATGCTATGCTGTGCTGCGCTATGCGATGCTATGGTATAATATGCTATGCTGTGCTATGCTGTGCTATGCGGTGGTATGTTGTGCTAAGCAATGCTATGCTACGCGATGCTATGATATGCTGCGCTATGATATGCTATGATATGCTATGCTATGCTATGCTATGCTATGTTATGATTGGCTATGCTGTGCTATGCTATGCTGTGCTAATGCGGCGCTGCGCTATGCTGCGCTGCGCTAAGCTAAGCTAAGGTAAGCTAAGCTATGCTAAGCTAAGCTAAACTAAGCTAAGTTAGGTTAGGCTAAGCTAAGCGAAGCTAAGCTAAGCCAAGCTAAGCTAAGCTAAGCTAAGCTGAGATAAGCTAAGCTAAGCTAAGCTCAGCTAAACTAAGCTAAGCTAAGCTAAGCTAGGCTGGGCAAAACTAAGCTAAGCTAAGCTAAACTAAGCCAAACTAAGCTAAGCTAAGCTAAGATGAGATGAGCCAAGCTAAGCTAAGCTAAACTAAGCTAAGCTAAGCTAAGCTGGGTGAACCCAGGGGGCGCAACTGGGGGAACCGCGGGGCGGATACTGGGGGAACCGCCCGGTGCGGTGTGCACTGCCCGTCCCCTTTGAGAAAGAGAGCAAGAACCCCCTAGGCAGAGCCTAGGCAGGGAAAAGGAGAAAAGAGGACGAGGAGGAATGGGAGACGAAAGGAAGGGGAAAGGGGGGATCCGGGAAACGGAGGGCGGGGGAGGGGGAAGGAGAAGATGGCCAAAGCGGCTGATGATATTGGGGCGGGCGGATTGGGAGGACAAGAAGGGCGTGGAAGAGATGGAAATGATGAGAACTACGTGGGGATAAAGAGGGCATGAGGGCGTCAGCTAACCGGATCTACATGTGGACACACACATGTATATATATATATAGAGAGAGAGAGGGACAACCAAAACAAAAGACATCAAGAGTGGCACCAGGGCGGCAGCAGCAGCA